TCTCCAACAAGTGGTGTTCCTAGCTAGTATTAATTGGGCAGTGTGGGAAAAATGAGCACAGCAGCGCTCTCTGTTGTACTTGGTCTGTGGATAAATGGGGGAACATAAGACCACCAGGATTGTCAGGCTGGATTAGGCTCACTCATACAGTCTAGTGCCTCGCTTTCTTCAACAGCCAGCACGGCACATTTCCAGGGATAATTGTAAGAGCTGAGCAGAAGGCTTTACAGGGAAAATCAATTCTCTTTTTCCCCTTTTCTCCAAGCATTGCCTCCTTTCCATTCCTGGAAGGGAACTTGCAGGAAAAATCAGGAAAACTTCTATCTCTCTAGAACATTTTGATTCACTAATGGTAATATAGACCCAGAGAGGGTTGTAGGGGCAAGTTGCTGGGGTTTACGCAGGACCGTGGGCTGCAGGAGACAGCCAGGATAAGGCAGCTTGCATCCCATGGGTAGGTGGGAAGAGAGCAGGACTGCTACTTTGCTTTTGACAGGGACTACCAGGAATATTTTGCTGCCTCTGTGCATTTTACATGCGCGGTGTGCATTGTTAGGAAGAGTGCTAGGCAGGGTTTTAGGGGAATGGCAACTTGCAGGTTGGATGCTGAACACAGCATACACATACTGGATTCCTTCCAGTAAGCCTTTTGGTATTGACATCTAATCCTTCAAGAAATCATCGCCTGCTCAGGGGAGGCCCAGGTTTTCTGAGCTAGTCCATGGTGACATCAGAGAGCCCATGGACTCCTGTCCCAGCCCAAGAGGGTAGAAAGCCTGGAGCCTCTGAAACAAGGGCAGGGCAACCCACACACGCTTCATCCCTCAAGAGCAGGCGCAAAAGCCCTTTTGCAGGGCTCCGTCTCCAGCAGAGACTGAGGTGCTCTGAAATGTTCTTTGCTTCAGGCTGCGGACTCTAAAGGAAAAGAAGTAGAACTGGATCCCCTGGAAAGAGAGGCAAAACCAGAAACCCCACAAGAGGGACATGCTGGATTTCATCTGCAAGCTGAAACCAAACAACTAGAGAAGAAGCAATGCATGAGGCTGGGTCCTGGGCTAGTTTAAGGTATGGGTTCACCGCAAAAAACATGGTTAAGGAAAAAAAGTTCTTTATTGAAGAGGCTGGGAACTTGCACTCTTGAATGGGAATTACACAGGACAACACTGACTTTTTGTGAAGAATGGAACTGAAAGCATATCTAAGGCTGGTCCTTCATTTGAGACACTACCATCCATGGTAGACAGCATATTGTCTTTTGGAAAGATAGAGTCCTATTGCCAAAAATGAGAGAGATTGTCTGATCACTGAAAGTGAATTGAGTTGTTTACCAATGGATGCAAAGGTGCCTATATACAGATGTTTTGCAGGGTTGTGTATAGAAGACGGACAAGACAAAACCCCCAAGCCCCGATGAAAGAATCAGTTTTACAGGTTGATTTTTGAATTGCAGCTATTGCCCCCTTTGAGGGGGAGCATGATGGCAGAAGGAAGCTTTTAGGCAGGTCTGGGAGAAAGGCACCATCTTTCAGTATGTTAGCTGACATTTGATCATTTGCAATCACATCAGTCAAATCAAAATAGTAATGGAAACAAAAAAAAGAATGGCACATGAGTTTTTCCTTTTTCATTCCTGACTCCCTCCTCAGAGTCCAGAAGAGAAAGATACATGAGGGTTTTTGATTTTTTTTTTTAACTTTTTTTACTCTGTTCTGTTACATATGGAATGATGTGACACAAGAAAAAGTATCCCTGGCATTGCAACTTCATGTTTTCTGTTTTGTTGAGAAAGAAATGTTTGGTACTGGCAGCCATTAAGTTTTGAGGTGTGGCTTTGTTAACTAGTCATATTCTCACCTTCACACAATCAAGATCGGAAAAGACACTCTTGCAGTAATTTTTTCCAGAATCTGTAATGTTCTGATGCCTGCCCATATTCATATAATATCTGGGCTTTCAGAAGGTTTTTTTTGTTACTTGTTTTCTTTCTCGGTGCGCTATTGTGGAAGTGGAAACAATTGCCTGTCAATGACAATACTAAAGAATAAAGAATACTACTTTCCCTGTCATAGTTTTAAGAAGTAACAAGTCCTTAAGGACTTGATCTCTTGTTTATTATGTGCTGTTGCTGACTGGTGATGACGAGAGTATTTCCATTTGCTTTCATCCAGCTGAAGGCATTCATTTGCTTTCATCCAGCTTTACCTGCTGCTTTGCCTTTTGAAATAAGCTTTCTGCAAGATATTTTCTGTGACACATCTCTGTGGTGAATCTGTTGTTTGTTGTCTAGTAGATCTATTTTCTGATTCGTTCCCTCATCTGGTTGACACTGCCCCACAGTGAATGTTATCACAAGGTGCAAGAAGACGGATGGGAACCTCCTGGATTTAAGCATGATCCAAGAGACTTTTCCAGAAAGCTGGCAGAGGTTTATTTTAAATGCCTGAAAAAATCTGTCATAGCAGGCATGCTGTTCTGTCTGGAAAGTTGGAGAACCCACAAATGGTTTTGCGAGCTTAAAATTCTGTGCTCTGAACGATCATAGGTTTCTCACATCTCGGGCACCAGCAGGCTTCAGTGAGGTATTGTCCGACTTTCCTGTAGCCAAACACAATGACGTAGGAGCTGAATGAATAACAGACGCAGGACAGGACTCTGTAGAGCGTCCACCGAGGACGCTGTTCTCAAAGTTGGTCTTGAGATGTCCTGAAACAGAAGCAATCCTTACTGTGTTGTTGGAGAGTCAGCAGACAATGTAAACAGAGCAGCAAGAACAAGGTCTTGGTTGCCTGAGCCGTGTGCTTATTCCAGGTTCTCTATGTGGTTGAGGCAGCACTTATCTTTCTTCTTTGCTTTCAGAGGAGGTCAATGATAAAGCCGTTCAGGACTATCACAAGGATGATGAAGACGAGATCCAAGCTGACAGACGCGTAGCTGGTGAACTTCATGATGAAACTCCCCACAGAACTTGTAGTAGCCAAGCCCACAATGATCTCGTTGCTTACTTTCTCTGCTGTTTTGTTGTACTGAAGGTGAGGGATTTGGAAGTCGATACTGAAGATCTAGCAGCCAGCAAGAATGCTGTTCACGTGCTACCCTTGGTACCTGTAGATGAACTTGGACCAGTGGTGGTTAGGTCTCAGGATCTTTATCAAGTGGAGGAAACTCACATTCTCCCCTGACCAGATGCTGTTCAGCCTTAGCATATGATATGCGTAGAGGAGCATTCTCACCAAAACTGCTGGTGCCGCCGTAAGAGTGCTGGGATCTCTTTGTAGCAACAGAGTAAGAGGTTCACCAGGGCCATGTTGACAGTGATCCTGTGTAAGGGCTGAAGGACTTTTTGCCTGGATTGCTTTACTGATATGTGCAAAGAGGACAACGAGGTCACCTATTGTGCCAGTAAATGCCAAGAGGTAAATGAGGATGGAAATAGGGTTGAATACCATAACTGATGCCTGAAGAGGGCTTCCCTGGCCTTTCCCAGCTGCTTTCAGAACTTCTTCCTCCTTGCCTTGGCTGCTTGATCCTATTACGTCTGCCTCTTGCTCTTTACAATGTCTTTGTGGTGGCAATGCTGTCAGTTTCTCTCTCAGTGAAGCTGTTACCCTGCTCCCCACCAAGGCGATGCGTATGCTTTGGAAGCTACAGCTCTGCTAGCGCTTGCGCTGTGATTGCTTTGCTCTCTGTGCAGCTGCTCTTACCTCACTCAGAAAGGTCAGGCCGGGTGGACATTCAGTAGGGAGGAACAGGAAGTGTGCTGTGGCTGAAAATGCTGCATATCGAATTAGAGAGGCTTGCAGGTGAGAAGCCCTGCAAGGAGCGGTGAGGTTTGAAGGACTGCCTGGAAACTAATGTTAGCTTGAAACTTGCATTGAGCATTGGGAGGACTGTCCTGCTATGGCCGGTCACTTGGTGCTGGAGATGGCTAGAGAAAGGTCTGGCTTGATGGGGTAGGGAGGTGTGTGTGAAAGTGAAAAAGGAGGGTAATTCTCAGCAAACATTGGGGAAAAAAACGGTACTTAAAAGAGGGTATAACTGAGATATGAAGGTCTGTATCCCAATTCTGGTCCAGACCTCTCTTCCCTCCGCCTCAGTCCGTCCCACCCAGCAGGCACTGAACCTCGTCATACCTCTGAGGCTTGCTTTCCTAGTTCCTCCTGCACAGGAATGCCTCTCAGAACAGCTGGATCCCTTCACTGTTTGGTATCCAGCAACTAAGCAGATCGGGTGTAGAGCTCCTGCTCTGATCCATGTTACTGGAGCGCATCAGGCACTGTCAGCATGGCTGGCATCAGCATCATCAGACAGTTGACAAGAGGCAGGTGTAGCTGCTTTGTTTAAAAAAATAAAAAAACCTGGTGCAGACACCCACTTGTATTACAAGTCAAGGAGGGAGAACACCTGCCCAAGTTCAAATTGTTCCCATAAAGAAGTTCTCTGACAGCCAGGCTCCAGATACCTCACCACGTAGGTCCACCGGGTAGAGCTGGATGGGGATGCAGGGGTTGGAGTGGGAGAGGGGCTCTGGTTTCCTACAGAAGAGATAGCAGCTTCTGAGTTTCATGCTCCTGTCCAAAATAAAAGTTCAAGCTGCCCAGTTCATGTCCAGCTCTCGCTTCCATGCTCTTTGGGAAAGCATGCCTTCTAGCTGATGTAAGTACAGAAGCTTATTGGAGATGTTCTACTAGGAGGGCAATTTCTGGGTATCATTTGTTGCTACGAGGAGTGTGTGCGTGTGTGAGTGAATAAAATAAACTCTCTGAGAAGAGAGACCAGAATCTGGGACTCCTTTTTACTTTCAGAGTCCTGCAGTACTAATTCATTTAAAGGCAAGATTTCAAATTCAATGGCAATGGGTTTTTTTTCCACATAATATATTAACACTGCAAATTTGTTTCCATTCTAGCAGACTTCTAAAAATCAAACATACATTTATTGTACTGGTTGAAAGTGGAACTATGCTTAACTCTTTTTTTTTTTTTTTTTTTTTTCCCCTCCAGTGGACAACCCTGAATTTGAGATAAAGACTGATGTTATTTGAGAACATGGGAAGATTCATAGGATCATGAAAACATGGGATGACTGGCTGGGTAGATGAGGGCAGAGCAGTGGATGTTGTCTCCCTGGACTTCAGCAAGGCTTTTGACACTGTCTCCCATCACATCCTCGTAGGTAAGCTCAGGAAGTGTGGGCTAGATGAGTGGACAGTGAGGTGGATTGAGAACTGGCTGGATGGCCGAGCTCAGAGGGTTGTGGTGAATGGCGCAGAGTCAAGTTGGAGGCCTGTGGCTAGTGGTGTCCCCCAGGGGTCAGTCCTGGGTCCAGTCTTGTTCAATATATTCATCGATGACCTGGAGGAAGGGACAGAGTGCACCCTCAGCAAGTTTGCTGATGATCCTAAACTGGGGGGAGAGGCTGACACACCAGAAGACTGTGCTGCCATTCCAGAAGGACCTGGGAGTGCTGGTGGACAACAAGTGAAGCATGAGCCAGCAGTGTGCCCTTGTGGCCAAGAAGGCCAATGGTCTGCTGGGGTGCGTTAGGCAGAGTGTTGCCAGCAGGTGGAGGGAGGTTGCCCCTGGTGAGGCCTCCCCTGGAGTACTGTGTCCAGTTCTGGGCTCCCCAGTACAAGAGAGACATAGCATTCCTGGAGAGAGCCCAGCGGAGGGCTACCAAGATGATTAGAGGGCTGGAGCACCTCTCCTATGAAGAAAGGCTGCAAGAGCTGGGATTCTTCAGCTTGGAGAAGACTGAGAGGGGATCTGATCAACGTGTATAAGTCTCTGAAGGGGGAGTGTCAAGAGGATGAGGCCAGCCTGTTCTCCGTGGTGCCCAGCCACAGGACAAGAGGCAGCGGGCAGAAACTGAACCACAGGAAGTTCCACCTAAATCTGAGAACAAACTTCTTGACTGTGAGGGTGACAGAGCATTGGACCAGGTTGCCCAGAGAGGTAGTGGAGTCTCCTTCGCTGGAGATATTCAAAACCCGTCCGGATGCGATCCTGGGCAATATGCTCTAGGTGACCCTGCTGGAGCAGGGAGGTTGGACTGGATGATCTCCAGAGGTCCCTTCCAACCTAAACGATTCTGTGATTCTGTGATTCCTATTCTGTCAAAAAGCTGTTTTCTGTGGCAAACTACGGAAACATTTGTGCCTCCTCTCCCTCTCCGCAGATCTCCTTCATGGAGGGGAATTATTTTCCATAGCATGAAAGGGTTTATTTGCCAGGGACCAGTGATGACTGCCCAGGTTTCATTGTCTTCTCTTTGATTTAATCAGTGTATGATTTGACCGTAGCTTGAAAATTATGGTATTAAACTGTTCCTCTTATTGGATGTCTAGTGGCAGAAGTTATTGGAAGATTTCCGAGATTCATAGAAAGTAGGAATGCAAGGGATGGCTAGGAGCCCATCTATCTGCCCCAAATCAGGATCAGCTCTACCCACTGCATCACTGATATTTATTTGTCCATGTGCTTCAAAGCCTCCAGGAATGGGACTCATGCTCTGTTCCATCCCCTCCAAACTCTTCCAGTGCATCGCTGTCCTTATCACAGTAAGGATTTCCTTAATGTCTGATCTAAATCTTTCTGGGGACAATGTAAGCCCAGTATAATCACTGTTCTGTAATAAATATTCATTCTAATTCTATAGTGAGTAAAGCAGATCATTATTCTTTAATACAATAGAAGAAAGGCATACAGGAGGTCCATTTAATAATAGAGGTGACTGGTATATAAAGCACTGTGATATTATAATTAATATAGGAGTTGCAGTGTGCTAAGGAAACTCCTGGCAACCAAATGAAGGAATGCTATGAAGTTTTACCTTCCTGCAGTTAAAAAGAAAAAAGTCAGCTGAAGTTAACGGAAATTCTGCATGCATAAGAAACACAGGTGGAAGGGAAGATCGGCGTATTTTAATCAAAGTGAAAGGCAAAAAACTAATTCAAATCATTACAAGTGATTGCAGGCTTAATTCCTTCCCCTTATTAGATTCTTCAGTCCTAACCTTACAGTCCTAAGAGATCTCTTCACATTGGAGAGGTAGAAACTTGATTTGTAGACTCACTGACCCCTCGGAGTGAAACAGTAAAGCCATTCACTCTCAACAGGGTGGCTTTCAAGCTGTGTCTTCTGGTAAAGACGATTATGTTGAAACCATCCTTTTTCTGGACCTTGCTGTGGGCAGGGAGAACCTCCCTCTGTGAATGCTTTTATATAGGTGAATCTGAGGTGCTAAATAACCATTATGGATGAAAGGACAAGGAGGAAATTTTGCTCCTGTTCTGAGCTAGATGCAACGGATGGAGAAAACACAGAAATGCAGATCTGTCAATGTTTGGGCTGAGATCAGCCTTTAAATCCCTGCCATTGGTTACCAAACTACTAACCTTTCCTACAGCCTGCTTCCCTGTTGCCCTGACTACATTGATGATATATGAAAGCAAACATAAGGCCGAAGTGTCTCCTACTCTTTGCAGAGCCCAGTGACAGTGCCATAAGCAATGTCAGAAAATGGCATGCAGAGCACACAATATCATCTGAGGCAGCCAAACTGCTCCTGCTGGGAAAGGCAGTTTTGCCAGAGCCAAGAACGTGTTGATGTAGAGGAAATGTCAATGTCCAAAGAGCTTTCACCTTCCCTCATTTCCTTTTGAGTATGTACTGCAGTTTTGGTGCCATTCCATTTCAGTTCTCATCGGATTGTCTTAAAACATCCTTTTGGGTGTTTGATGCCTTAGATGAGAACTTGTTAGTATTGCCAGAATGAAACTCTGGAGCTATCTTTAAATGCATCAGAGTTGGGAAAACTATGTGGTCCTTGAAAAGTGTTGAAACATCTATTTTTCTTCTAGCATGATCAACCACAATGGCAAATTCAAGGTGGCGCTCATTAGCTCGGTTGAGGTTTGTAGCTGATGCTGAGCAGAGCAGCTGGGCCCAACAGCTTCTCTTCTGGACCAACCATGTGGATGTTGGGTGGAGGATGTTTATTTGGGAATGGCTCTCTCTGCTCTTGCTCCAACTTGTTGGGCTGCTGGCCAGCTGAAAGCTGTGTGCCTGGGATGGCCCAAGTGAATGCTTCTTGTCTCTCTGCAGGATTTATTCCTGTGTGCCCAGCACATAGCTTTCGCGTGACGGAGATCTCACATTCAGTGAGCTCGGCAGGCTGATAGTGAGCGTGCTTCTCTCTCTTCGTCATGCCCATTACCTTTCTAGAAACCCATGTCCCTGTTGTGGTTGAGAGCAGACTGGGAGCCCTTCAAGGGGGGCTCTCTGCCTTCCCTACTTTCTGAGAGAGGCCACGAATCAAATGAAACACTAAGCAATGATGTCTGTGTGGAGCAGATAGATAGCTGTTTCGGGGCATAAAAGGAAAGAAAAAAAAAGCAGAAAATTTACTTTGTTTATTTTTTTAAATGTTTTGTTCCCAAAATGTTCTGCTTTTAAAAAAAAAAAAAAGACACATCTATAGTTTTCTTTTCCTTCCTGCTGCACCTTTTTTATCTGCTCTAGAAATGAGTGAAACAAGGGGAAAAATATGAGTAGATGATGGTCTAGAAGGCCCTGATAAGAAGCCCTGATTTACCTTGGTTGTGGCAAGACTCATCCAAAATTCCTACTGAGAGAAAAATGGAAGTGCATTTTTTTCTTTCTTTTTTATTTCTTCATCTCAAAATGGCACAGATGGAGAGGTTTTAACTAGCCAATTCAAATGAATAAGTGGAGGAGAGACCCCATTTTATCCTGGCAGTCCTTCTGGAAATGAGGCCAACTCATTATCCAGAGATCTCCGCATTTCTCATCAGAACAGCCTGTTCTCCCTGCCTCTGCGCATGGCATATTCATCCCCTTCATCTCATACCATTGGCATAGGTTAGTGCTTGGAGGGAGACACCCTTGGAAAGTTGCAGTCTCAGCACAGCTAAATCTCACAGCTTTATCTCAAGCCTTAAAATATTTATATATATTTGTATTTGCAAAAAATCTCTGCAAACAATTTTATTTTTCAGCCCACCCATCCATCTTCCTCATTGCCAGGAAACATCCAACCCTGCAGGATTCGGCCAAAAAGAAATAGGAATGTACTGACATCTTTTCGGGGATATGTTTGTTGTTTTAGGATTTGCATTTCAACAGAAAAGCAAAAGTAACCCTGAGAAGTGGAGCTGAAAGTGAGCTTGTGTTCCCAGCAGGTAAATACTGAAAAGTCATTTTACCTTTGCTCAGCCTTGTCCCACAGCATCTGCAAGGTGGGGTCAGGACTCGCATTGTAGTGGCACTGCCAGCCGCTGTACCTGAGTCTCCAATGCCATCATCAGCAATACCTGCTGAGCAGGAAAGGATGGCTTGGAGATTTTCCCCGAGGTGGATTTTGCTGCCATCCTGCGGTCACTGCTTTTTGAAGCTGCTGAAATGGTCTCAAGGCAGCAGTATGATGATCTCCATGCTGCAGCAGGTCTTGCAGTGAGATGGTTGTCTTCATCCCTGCTAGGAGCTGTGCAAACTCCCACAGACAAAGCACAGAGTAGTGAAAAGCAAGACAAAGTGAAAAACAGGGTGATTGCTCTTCCTTGCTCCTCATAAAACACAAGGAAATAAAGAACCAGATACTGAAAAGGTGCTTAATCACCCTGAGGCACCTATGAAAATCCCCACGGGACCCTGTTTTCATCTGTAGGTGCCTAAAACCTTTATAAATCTACCCCCAGATTTTTAAAGGACTCAAGCAGGAAGACTGAGGGGCTTTAGAGAAGGGGCTCATCTTGCTCTGACAGCTGCTGCAGCTTGCCTGAAGAGAGTCTGGACTCTACCTGCCTCAGTTTCCCCACATGTAAAATGGGGGTGGTAAAACCTGCCATGGAAGGATGTTGCGGGAATTCATTTGCTCCTGGCTCTTTAGCACCTCAGCAGTCCCTGGTTAAAGCTCAGTCTGCAATGGCCAAACTGCCCAGGGCAGTGTTTGCTCTGAAACCACAGGCTTGCAATGCCTACTGAGTTCCCAGGGAACCTGGACACCCACGACTGTGCCACAGATGCCTTCACAGCCTAGATGTCACCTTGGGTTGTGGTAACCCTTGGGTGCATCCACACCGTGTACTTGCAGCTGTGAGATATGGTTTCATACTGGTACCCTCTTC